AATGTTACTTTGAATTAAAGATGAAAGAAGTAAATCATTTTCTAAACAGCTATCTCAGATGCACATTTTCAGGATTTTTCATCTCTGTCAGCACAGGAATATTATTTAAAATATCAAACATACCATCTGTGAATTGATAAATAAAACAAAATGATTTACAGATTGACTGATAGATACATTTTAAGAGACTTTTATCTCTCCTTCAGTCTGGTCCTACCAGAGCAAACACTGATCTCACTAACCAGACAAACTAAACTTGATGGCTGCTGAAGAATGAAACTTCAGACGCAGATGTTAAAGATTCTTCATTTAGACTTGATTTTTTAGCTTTACGGTTAATATATTAATGCTTGTTGTCATTTTTTTTTATTTCAACTAATGTTATTTCTGCTTGAGGACATCCATGTAGTATAACATTTAGAACGATGTTAAGATTGAAACAACATTCTCATAAATCTCTATCAAGCTTTTGAGATGGGAGTTTGAAGATCACAGAAATCCACTTAGGTTTAACCCTTTCATGCATGAATTATATCTTCATCCAGGATTTTTTTGTGTGTTTTTCTTTTTCTTGGGGCATTAAAAAAAGGGTGGAAATTTTTTCTTATAATTATTTTTTTAATTCAAGAACTTTTCCACATGTCCACTCAGCTGGACAGCATACGTTTCAATATGTTTTGCAAACAAAATACTGCATGTGAACATGTTTTGAAATATTTTGACATTGCTCAACTGAATAGATAAAAACCCATACATATGCATGAAAATGCATTTTAAATAGCTGCAGTGACCACTATGCATAAAAGGATTTCTCTAAAAGCACTAGAGTGCTCACTGCCCATCCTACCCATTGTTTCCATCAGAGAAGCTAAGATGGCGTCCAAAACAGGCTCACAGCCAACAAAACAGCTGTTTAATTAACAGCAAGCCCAAATGGAACTCTGTCACATATTGTCATTAACATCCTTACCCTAACTTCATATTGTCAGGTTCGGCCGTCAGGAGTGTTTGAACCCACGTGCGGGAGGATGACAAGGACGCTCGAGGAATAGTAAAAAATATTTATTAAAACAAAATCAAAACGCTGACAGGGCAGCTACTCACAGACTGATCGGACGGATGGACAGATGGAACGAAAGGCTAAACACGACACCATAGAAGGACAAGTCCGAGACAAAGACAAGACACCAGTGAACTAAATATATACACACACTGATTAGGACAATGACAGACACTTGTGGTAATAACATTAGATACAGGTGAGACAGAGGCTGAACATAAGGAGGGAAAACATAGAGAGCTGAATCAGGAAACGAAGAAACAGACAGACAGGACAAAAACCCAGAAACCCTAAACATATAATTCATCTTTTTTTTTTAATTATCAGTGTTTATATGCTCAATGTTATTTATAGAAGGAAAATATATTTGGTCTAACTAATGTTGATTGAAACATGACCTCAAGTCAGTAACCATGGTGTAAATATGATGACAATTGAAGGAAACAGTACTTTGGACTATTTAATAATTTGTGCTAAGCTGTAGCATGATTCATTCTGTACAGCTCAGCAATATCTGCCTCAGAAGCTACAATCTATGAACCAATTCAATAATTTATATTGGCTTTATAGGCTACTTTTAAAAGGGTCCGTTATTAGCTTCAGTTCTAGTCGGATCACATTCACATCGTGGTAAAGAAGAACAACTCTGCTGACTGAAAGCAGACTTGTTGTTCCTTTTTTCTCTTCTGTTGCTGCATCTGCAGCATACACTGCTTTCTGGCATTTTTAAAGTTTTATATAATTCTAATATTCTATTATTATTATATTACACATACTTAAATTTTATTTTTCACTTTTTTTTTTCTTTTTTTTTTACGAAATCAGTCCTTACTCAGTGCTATTTTGCAACATCTACCAAAACGCAAATTGCAGATGTTTGACCGTTTTGGTAATGGCTGCCATAACTGCAGTGCATCACAAGGTCATGTGACCAGAGCACTCTAGTCTTTTATGATAAAACCACTTCAGAAGATCTGAATTGTTTCTTTAAAGGACTACAATAGGTTGCCCAAAGACCACTTGTGTCCCTTGGACCATATTTTGACCATGTGTGAATTAACTGGACCCTTTCTTTACCTCTCTGTAAATCACAAAGATGCTCTACAATCAGGAGGACCTTAATACAGAAACTTAAGGTGGTTTTGGAACAGACCAATGGCAGGGCTTAATTTGATCTGGATCCTGCCAGAACAGGATCCCGGAACACTCTTATTTTGACTGGGTGCATTCTGGTAAATGTTTGCTTGGATCCAGTAACTTTCAGGCTCACTAATAATAAAGTTATGAACAAATTTGACTGCCTTGAATGAGTCAAACCTATACTGGACGTTATCTGAAAATAATTATATAAACCTTAATTTTATACACTTACGAGCTGCCCTTCAAGTAAGCATTTCCACTTCTACCCTTAAAAAAATCTCCGCCTCTAAAAGTTCAGTCATGGGTAATTTAATTAAAAACACAAAAATATAATTAAACAGCACAACTAACTTGCAAATCAGTTTTACAGTTTAAGTGGTCATTAATAAGATTTTGATTATTTATTAAAAATACGAGAGAAATGTTTGATAGGTAATCACGTTACGTATGTCACGTATCAAAACAACGGCGCCAATTTCTCAAAATAACAGCGATCAAAATGTCAGAATGACAGTCCAATTTACATTCATTTTAAAACAGTCTTCTCATTGTACAACTAAACAACAGAGAATTGAAGTACATGAAGGCAGTGGCGATGGAGATACTGGAGCAGGTGTGAGTGAGAGCTGAGCTAACCAGGCTGTCGTACCTGGGCAGGAGCCCACAGACAGCCGCCATAAACAGCCTGTGGAGGCACCTGGGGGTTTCACATGTGGAGGAGGACAATGATAAGGAGGACAGTGAATTAAGCAGATAAGAGTCGGGCTTGGAACCATCAAGTGAGGGATGCCCAACAATCTGGACAGATGCCCAGTTCAAGGCCAGGCAGACCTACTATCCATGGCTTGTCAAGTAAAAATCAGGTTTGGGTTGACGCAGGAGACCAAGCTCTATTCACACAAGGAGAGCTGTTGGTCAGGCTACTTCTTGTTGTCCTCTAAAATAGTTTTCAAAAAACATTCAATACAAAAACAACTGGACTTTATTTGTAACAAAAGATGTTTCGCTCCTCATCTGAGGAGCTTTCTCAATTGAGAAAGCTCCTCGGATGAGGAGCGCAACGTCTTCTGTTACAAATAAAGTCCAGTTGTTTTTGTATTGAACGTTTTTTGAATTCATCATGTCCTGGATGACTGAGAATCTTCCATCCATCCATTATCTTTACCCGCTTATTCCATTTTGGGTCACGGGGGTCGCTGGTGCCCATGTCCAGCAATCACTGTGCGAGGGGCGGGGTACACCCTGGACGGGTCGCAAGTCCATCACAGGGCCACATAGAGACAAACGAGACAAACAACCCTTCACTCTCTCACTCACACCTAGGGACAATTTAGAGTTACCAATCAGCCTAACATGCATGTTTTTGGTCTGTGGGAGGAAACCGGAGTACCCGGAGAAAACCCACGCATGCACGGAGAGAACATGCAAACTCCACCCAGAAAGGCCTCTGGACCGGGGTTTGAACCAAGGACCTGCTCGCTGAGAGGCAGCAGCTCTACCAGTTGCGCCACCGTGCTGCCCTTTGACTGAGAATCTTCACCAGCATATCTCTCTAAAATAGGTATTGAATCAACTGTTTACATTTGTGGATAAACGTAGTTGTTTAACAAACCTTTAAATACACCAGAATGCAGGAAATGGCATCTACTTTATTCAAAAATTTCTGGAGGAGGACCTCCAGGAACCCCCCACCCCCACCCATTTGCATTCCAGCATCGTTTGGTTTACAAATTAAGCACTGACCAATGGTAATGGACTTCCTGTGAGGTATATACTCTGTATACTGTACTGTATATGTTCATGGTAAAACCTTTAAAAGGGAAACAATAACCTAGATGAGAAACCGTGGTCATAAAAGTGGGTTTATGCATTCCAAGAGGCCTGGAGGGATTCTTTGAAGCAGTTGTATAATTGATTTGTTATGGCACTTTAAGCTGAATGATCATACAGAAACTTTGGCAGCTGGCAGACGTGGACGAGCATTAGTATTCATTCAGAGCTGAGTCTTTGGCCAGCAGACAAATGCAGGTCCAATATTCCATCTCTAGCTGTTTTTTTAGCCCTGCAGATCTTCAGCTGCTGTGCTGAGCTGCAAGCTCTGTCTATTTGCAGTTTGGGTCAGGCTTGGCTCCAGAAATCCTAACTTCGACTGTAAATGGGTTCATGAGAGCAATGCTGTGCGCTATTTGTGTTTACTGAAGTGATTGAAACTGGAAATGGGTTGAACCATAATTCTTCTCATGTGGAAAGCCACACAGTCCAGGGATTGGCTGGTTGGAAATGCACAGAGCAGAAAACAGAGCATCAAGTAATAAAAAAAAAAACTTTATATTTTTATATGCATAGGAACAACAAATTTAATATTTTCTCACGACATATAACATTTTACTGAACAAACAGTAGCTAAAAATCCAACAGAGTTAAGTCAGGTCCTCTGGGCGGTTACTTTGTGATGAAATGTTTCGTCTTTCATCCGAAAGACTTTATCAGTCTGTGGAGCCACAACAAACTCCGTCTTATAAATAGCACCTTCACATCAAGGGTCAACCAGTTTGATGGTGCTCAGATGACTTGACCTGGCTTAACTTTGTTGTTTTTTTCTATCAGGATTATTGAGCATGAACGTTGATATTTTGAACCATTTTGACCATGACAACCTCAAATGAGTCGACGGGGGAGAGGACAAACTCCAGAAACCATCTTATCACCATCAAATTGGTTGACCCACTATATGAAGGTGCTATTTATAAAACTGAGTTTGTTGTGGCTCCTCGGACTGATGAAGTCTTTTGGATGAAAGATGAAACGTTTCAACAAAAAGAAACCGTCCACAAGACCTGACTTAACTGATTTTTCTACCTGGATTAGAGCATTTATTTAAACTTTATGTACAGGTTAGTCCCATTGAGCTGGAGGGACTCATTTACAAGAGAGACCTGATTTAAACAAAGAATGATGACAACAGTAGGCAATCATAACATAAAGCATACAAACTGAGAAGAACAAATGAAAGAAAATGGTAGAAAAAAAACCCCAGCTGGTTTGTAAAACGATGTAGAAAACTAAAAACAGGAACATGTCTGCATTGGTTTTCCCCAGGAACTTAGCAGATGTTTGAAGCCACTTAGAAAGATCAAGGTCGAGAGCTTCAGATCTTTTTGCAAGATATTCAAGGAAACATGAGCGGAGTAGGAGAAGGCCCTTTTGTCTAGTTCAGTCCTCACTGAGGGAACACTGCAGGTAATAATGTCCTGAGAGCGCACGCTGTAGCTGCACTCACGTAGAGACATGTAGGAGGAGATGTATGAAGGCAGCAGACCAAGAAGTGATTTAAAGATGAAAATGGACCAGTGGGAGATTCAAGAAGCATGAACCTTGATATAATCCAAAAGGTTTAGAATACTAAATTAAAGTTTTAACATATTTGAACTTGTGAATGAAATGTGGTGAAATCAGGACAACAAAGTTGTCAGATCCATTCAGTTTATGATCCCAGTATAGAAAATTGAGTGGCTGAAAATCCCATTTCTCCTTCTCATGTTTTCTCCAGGGATTTCCCGCAGAAGATGGCATCAGCTCTATCAGAGAATCCGGCCTCCGTGATCCACTCTCTCAATCTGGCTCATAACACCCTTGATAACCAAGGTACCGACTCTCTGAACGCTCTCTGAACGCTCTCTGAACGCTCTTTGCCTCCCACTGCCATCTCTATCCAGGCTACTGCGATTCTTCTACTGCTTGAGTGTGTCTTTTGTTTGCTTTCAGAGTTCAGAATCAGTCTTTGTCCTTGCTGCACCTTCATTCCTGTTCTTTCATTTTTCTTTGTCTCTTGTCTGTCTGTCTTGTTACATGACTATAAAGGATCTTTGTGGGGGGAAAGGCATTTTTAATCAGTTTTAACACATCTGTGCATGCACAAAAACAGTCTAGCTATAATCTGTGCTAAACAGTGGCAGATTGAAGGGTTTGAGCTTTGTTTCTTTATGCCAGGGTCAGGCTTTGCTTCTCTCATTAGCTGATTTCTGCCACTCGTCACTTCTCCTCTATCATTAGGTTCTTTGCACTCACTCTAATCAGCCCCCAGCGTGTGGATGTGTGTTCATCTAACTTGACAGGATGCAGACTTTTGGTTTTAATTACAGCCACCGAATAACAGCAGCCTCAAGCATGTTTTAACAGTCAACTCTTTAAAGGTAAATTCATCCTTCAAGCAGATATGTGTCTTGATGAACTTGTGTGTGCAAGTTTTTTGTCCCCGTTGTGGAGCGAAGAGGGGAACTGGAAATACCGTCCACCATCCGGTTCATCTTGTGAGTTGAATAAATTTAAAAATAAGATTTGTGATGACTTCCATTTGGTTACTCAAACTTCCAACAAAATAATAATTAAAAATGTGTCAAAAGCTGATTAGAAGTCTGACGTTCTCGCACATACACAGACGGACCGGACCACGCCAGATAAAGTCCATATGACAAACCATGAATCAGCTCAAAGCTTCAGCTCAGCCTCCTGTGAGACAGACTGGAGCCCTGAAGATCAAAACAGTTGACAGATTTAAAATTTGGAATGACTAAAGCCAACATTTTTTCGTATTTCATATTCATTTAAGTATAACAGAGACATAAATAAATACAGTACCTCTGTTCTGTAACAATTGTTGACATAGTTTCTATGAGAATTCAAACTCTGGAAACAGCTCTTCACTTCCATAAATGGGGGGTGACAATACACCAGGGACCCGATCATGTGAGACCGCCAGATTCCTCTGTGTTCAAGAGTATTATGAGAAAATACTCATCATATCCTAATGTAGGGACACATCAAGGTTTTTCTACCATCAACTTTTATTCTTTTGATATTTTGAAAGTAAGACTGACTCTCATTCCCAAAGTTGGACAGAAAGAAACCATGTTACAAAAAATGTAATCACAAAAATCTGTTGTTGTAATTAATTGCACACCTGTCATTATGATCTCAGCAAAGCTAAAAGGCCTTTTATATGAGAACCTTTCCATCTGACCATCGAAGTGTAACATCTGAGCGTTATGTATATCTCTTCCTAAAAGGGAGGGTTCGTCCTACAGTCTTAGAGTGTGGGAAAGAACCACCGTATTGTTCCTCAAGGACTCTTTGATAGTATTGAATTTATGAAACAACATTGCCATCCCACAGTAGATTTTTTTTTCTGGGTTCTGAACACAATTAACTGTTTTGCTATAAAACTGCTATGAACTAACTTGTCTCCTTTCTCAGCTTAGTACTCAGTTTAATCATGCATAAGATAAAGTAGATGTAAAAACAAACCTGGTAATCAGAAGTTTCAACTGTTGTTTTCACAATTCTAATGAAAATGTTTATGGATGAGTCAAACTGGTTAGAAGCCTGTTATAATGAGTATTTACCAAAAGCAGAGTAAATTGGCCTTTTATTCTTAATATTGTTGGTAAAGTTCAAATGGTGCAGTAACCTAAAGGTCCACCCTTTCTGTTTTGATTGGGTCAACCTTCAATACTGTAACGCCCTCTAAGTCAGAGAAAGTTATTCTGATGTTTAGTTTAGAGCAGTTTTGGGGGAAGCTTTTGAAGAAGAAAGATCAAGCAATTGAAAATTATTCCAGAAGATAAGAAGTTCATGCAGAAAAGAGACAAGTGTTCCAGAGATTTGTCTTGTGTTTCAAGGAAGCACCAAAAGGTTCCCTGTCACCAGAAGGAGAAAACGCAGCCCTCTGGAAGCGCATCAACTGACCCATCGGGAGCCAGTTAACTATCGACTTCAGATTTCAACTGGTGTCCAGTGACGAGGGGTGTCCCACCTTCGACGCTAAAATAATCTCAAGAGAGTCCTCCTGGTAACCCTCGGGCGGATGAACTAGAACTTCAAATCGGTAGAAAAAGCTGCTCCTCCTCTCTGCTGGTGTCTGGTGCTAAGATAAGAAGCTGTCCAGTCTAAATAAAATTCATCATTATTAATTAGAATTAAGTTTTTCCTAAATTGACAAATCACATCTAGCCAAAACACTTCATGTAGTTAACTTTATAGATGATAATTTACTCTGCTTTTTGAACCTCATAATCCACCATATTAAAGTTTAGAAGATAATTCCATAACCTCTTCTTGTGTTGTCAAGTTAAAGCCATTATTCATTCTTCAGCTGTACTCATCGTTTTGATCACTTATATTTACCAAAATCGATAATAAACTTCATAAAATTGTACTTTGACTCAAAGCGCGTTTATTATATATGACATTTGAATTTAATACAAAAAGAACTCACTAGAACACGTAAACTTGAGACTGATTTTATATTTTTCTTGCTTAAGAACTGGAAAGCAAGTGGCGCCCCTTTCAGAATACAATTACTAATCAAAATTCAACGATCTGAGTACCCCTTCCTCTACTAATAATGTGAAAAAATGTAAAGTGTTTGTACTGTGTGTGATTTTTGATCACATTAATGTTCCATCTGCCATTATTTATTTGGTCAGAATGAAACCCGTCACTGTGTTTCCAGAACCCAGTCCGGCCTCCTCTACTGTGTTTGGTCATGTGCTCAGCACCAGGACTCGGAGCACCTCACGGTTTTTGACTCCTGTTCTCTTGTCTTTTTAGGAGTTGCCAACCTGATTCAACAGATCTGTCGCCTCAACAAGGGCTTGCGCCTCCTCAACCTCTCCAAAACCTCCCTCTCCTCCAAAGGTAGGCGTGCTCCTTTGATGCACAGCGACCCCTGGTGGTGATGGTTCCAAACACAGAGAGGAAGCTCTGTTTGTTTGGACCTGTGTTGTTCCACATGCAACTGGATTCACTCAGACAAACCGAGCAGTGCATGTTCTGGATTATTCATCTATGAATTATAATAATCAGGCCAGAATGGAAAGCAGTGGATTTTTTTTCACTAATACTTTGATGAGATTTTAGCCAGTGTCCCAGTTGTTTTTATCTGTGAGAACAGAACCAGCCCTGAACAGGATTGCAGTTTATTTAGGATTAAATCTGGACACATTCAAATCCAACAAATGGATACTTATTCCATCCATCCATCCATTATCTTTAGCCGCTTCTTCCTTTTTGAGTCGAAGGGGTCACTGGTGCCCATGTCCAGCAGTCACTGTGTGAGAGGTGGGGGACACCCTGGACAGGACTCCAGTCCATCACATGGACACATCATGGTGCATTAAGATTCACAACTGGCTGTAACTACAGTACCCACCACTGCACCCTGTATTCACTGGTTAACTGGACATCATTAACTTCACACAGACTCTCTCACTGGTACATTTTCATCTTTAAATCACTTCTTGGTCTGCTGCCTTCATACATCTCCTCCTACATGTCTCTGCGTGAGTGCAGCTACAGCGTGCGCTCTCAGGACATTATTACATGCAGTGTTCCCTCAGTGAGGGCCTTCTCCTACGCCGCCCCTGTTTCCTGGAATATCTTGAAAAAAGATCTGAAGCTCTTGACCTTGACCTCTCTAAGTGACTTTAAAACTCTGTTAAGTTCCTGGCAAAAACCAATGCAGACATCCAACATTTTCCAGTCAGGTCATCTGGACAGTTTGACCTGTCCGTCCAGATGACCTGACTGGAAAATGTTGGATTGTATACCTGGATTATTGAGCGTAGACTTTGTTGTCCAATACAGACATGCTCCTGTTTTTAGTTTTCTAAATCGCCTTGTGATTTAACTGTTTTTTTGCTGCTATTCCTCTTGACTGTCCTTTTGGTTGCTATTTTGTTTTGATTTGTTAAAAAAAAGAGAGAAACTTAAATTTGTATGCCTATTTTATGACTGTCTTTTGTTGTCGTTGTTATCCATTGCTGTCATTACTCTTTGTTAAGAAATCAGGTCTCTCTTGTAAATGAGTCTTCGAGGCTCAGTGGGATTAACCTGTCTAAATAAAGGTTGAATGAATGAATGAACATAGAGACAAACGAGACAAACAACCATTCATTCTCTCACTCACACCTAGAGACAATTTAGAGTTACCAGTCATCCTAACATACATGTTTTTGGTCTGTGGGAGGAAACCAGAGTACTCGAGAAAACCCATGCATGCACGGAGAGAACATGCAAACTCCACCAAAAAAGAACCCAGGTCCAACCCACAGATTGAACCCAGGACCTTCTTGCTGTGAGGCAACAGTGCTAACCACTGATCCATCTTGCTGCCCATTTTTAAAACTATTTTCATTCAGGTCTCGCTTGTTAATGAGTCCCCGAGGCTCATTGGGATTAACCTGTATAAATAAAGGTTGAATGAATTTACAGTTAAAGCTGAATTATTTCTTAAAATACAACACATGATTTGGCTTTTTTTAATTGTTGTATTGTTGGACGGACGGACGGACGGATGGATGGATGGATGGATGCATTGTTGGATGGATGGATGGATGCATGGATGCATTCTCCAACATGTCAGTGAGCACATCTGTTCCTTAAAGCTCAGAAAACAAAACAAAAAGAGACGAATGAGTTCAACATTCCATCTACATTTAGAAAAGTTGTGGCTTTACTAAAGCCTCAAAACTGTTCTGAACTGCAAACTGCTCATGTACTTACACAAAATTACAAAATACACAAACAAATAAGTCTGTCTGACTGCCTAGATATACTGAAGCTGGTAAGAAAGCTGAAACATAAATAAACAAGATATCTGTCACAAATACACCCAGAAATTATCTGATTTTATTAATTATGTATTTTTCTGTTGTAGTTTTTGCTATGTGAGTATAATATGCCACTTTATGAAGCAACTTTCTTTGATTTGATGTTTAAATCAATGTTGAGAGATTTAAACATATCATGATTTCTACTGGAGTTTCTTTGAAAGTTGAGCTGTCTTTATTGAATTGTTAAAAAAGAAAATTTGCCTCACATCTGATACAAACTTGTCACTTAGCTAGCTGAGTCCTGTGTGTGTCCTGTCTGTTTCCTGTCAGTTTTCTGTCAGTTTCTTCGACTTTGACTCACTCGTAGAGAGGGAACTAGAAATATCGTCTGTCTGTCTGTCTGTCTGTCTGTCTGTCTGTCTGTCTGTCTGCATGTCTTGGGAACTGGATAGCTTAAAACATAAGTGAGGTACTGACTTCCGTCTTTGTGCGTCTCTGCATCTTGACATGAGAAAGTTCTCTTGTGAAAATTGGTTAGCTAAGTCAAAATCCAAGGAGTCCACCCCCCCACCCTCTGCCACACACACACACACACACACACACACACACACACACACACACACACACACACACACACACACACATATAGGGGAGTGGTGGAGCAGAGGTTAGAAGATGGGCCTGTGATTGGAAAGTCGCAGGTTCACCTCCCGGTCCCTTTCAACTTCAAAATATGGGTGAAAAAGTTGAAACACCCACACCTGCCTCCACCCTCATTGACCCCACCCTGGGCCCCTGAGCAAGGCACTCAACCCCCACCATCTGCTCCTAAACAGGTCTCTCTTGAAAATGAGTTCTCGTGACTCATGAGACTACCTGTATAAATAAAGGTAAATGAAAAATAAAAGTTTAAAATAGAAATACTCACATCATGTATGTGTGTGTGACGTGCACATTCCTGAGAGTGTGTGTGTGACGTGCACGTTCCTGAGAGGCCACAGACAGAGCAGCTCCAGCTTTTGTTGAGTTCCTGTAGTCCTGCAGTTTTCAAGCTGAAATGAAAAAGCATCATGAATATGAACTTTACAGTCTCTAGTTACCTGTTCATATAAACACATGGAGGTGTCTCACCTTGTCACTGACAATAAAATATGTACATCTAATGAACTTATAATTATGCTCCTACTCTTTGAAGGTGACCCGATGGTACCACACCATCTCTTGGTCGGACAGTCTGATCAGTTTGATCAAAATCCTCCAGTTTAAAATCCTCACTGCTCAGATGAATCCTCCTCAAAGATACTTCCTCCTCTTCCTCACATCTTGTTCTTTGGGAAACCTTCAAAATGAAAACAGGAGATTTGTGTCTACACAAAAACATTGTACAGAGGAGGTCAATCTTATTTTCTATTTCCTATATTCTCCCTAGTTTTGTTTTTTTTATTTCCTAGAACTTAAACAAAACTCCAGTTCTGGTGCATATCTGTTGATAATGAACCAAAGCTGCTGAAACAGTGAGTACGTTTGTTAGAAAAATATTCCTGTCATCAGATCTCAGTCAGCTTCATTGCAGCTGAACACTGTGTTACACTGAACATCACATCAGCTGGTGGACATAAATACAGTACAGTAATATTATATTCACAAAATACTAACAATACTATGTTCATCTTACTTGTGAAAAGTTATCCCCCCGAGACCTGACGTCAACAGTCCGTCGATTAGAACAGAAATAAGCTGCGAAGTGCTGAGACATCTTCTGCTTTAACCAAATAAGGACGACCGTTCCAAGAAGGCAGCTGAAAATCCTGTCCAGATGACCTGACTGAAAAATGTTGGATTGTATACCTGGATTATTGAGCATGGACTTTGTTGTTTCTAGGAAACATTTCTGCATTGATTTTATTTAGGCTTCTTGAAAATGAGATTGAATCCATTTCAACAATGATTTCAGGATCTCCAGGTCCCGAACCATCACTCCTCCACTGCTGTGCTCCACAGCTGCTGTGAAGGTTTAGTTCCCACCAAATGTTGAGTTCATCTTTAATTATAGCCTTTACTCTTTGTTCAAGTCTTGACTTTTTCAGAAGGCATGTAGTTTCTCAGGATTCAACTTCGTCTGCATTCCACATTGTTTTTAAAGAAGCTCTTCCAAACGAAGCATGTTGAGGACTTGTTGAACTGCTCAGTCATGAAGCTTACCTTCTCTGAACAGTTTACAATCACTCGGATCTTAGCGTTGGATTGTGGTTAAAATGTTTTCCACCCTTAAAAAGTCTTTTTCTGCTTCCTGTCCCAGATTGATGAGCAACAACAACAGGTTATTTAATGCCTTTTCTTCTTGGCACACTCAAACGCTCATCTGTCCAGAGACCAGCAAACAAAAGAACCTTTGTTTTTTAGAGAAAAACTCAAATTCACTGATGATCAATTGTTTTTCAGAACTTTGGACCTGGTTGTAAATAAAATTATTGCCTTTCCTGCGAAAGTGCAGTGTGAATGCTTGTTGCAGAAGAACTTGCTGAAAAACAGCTGAAATCAGCTAAAATCATGCTGAAATGTAGCTGAAATGGAAGAACAAGCCTAAGTTAGCAGAAGAAAGCAGAAGGAACACATATTTGCTGTATTAGGTTTAAATAAACAGAAATGAGCACAAAATGAGCTAAATTAGCTAAAACAAAAAGGGAAATTAGCTGAAAAGGCAGAAAGAAGCTTAAGCTTAAGTTTACCATAAGGAAATTGAAAGAGCTGAAATGAGCTACAAAAATGTGGAAATAGCTACAAAAGCTAAATTTAGCATAAAAACAGCTGAAATAGCGAACAAAGCTGAAACTAGCAGAAGTAAGCTGAAAGGAGCATAATAAGCTGAAATTGGCAGAAAGGAATTAATTACACTGAAAGTAGCAGAAAATACCACGAAAAACTGGAATTTATTAGAAAACAGCTAAAATTAACTAAAATGCTAAAAATGTAGCTGAAAAAGTAGAACAAACTTAACTAAGCAGAAGAAAACAGAAAGGACACGTTTTCTGAAAGAAGCATAAATGAGCACAAAAAAGTGGAAACTATCTGAAAAAGCTGAAATTAGCAACAAAACAACTAAAAAGTAGCTTAAAATGCAGAAAGAAGGTGAAATTACAAGAATTAAGTAGAGAGAGTACATGTTTGCTGAATTAAGCTGCAGAAAGTTTAAATGAGTGCAACAAATGTGGAAAATGCTAAAATTAGCATAAAACAGCTATATAGTAGCTGAAATAGTAGAAAAAGCTGAAATTTGTTTTAATAAGCTGAAAGGAGCTCAACAAGCTGGAATTAGCAAAAAGTAGTTAGAAGAAGCTCAAAAATATTGTAGTTAGGAGAAAGAAGCTGAAAGGAGCAAAAAAACAGCTAAAAAAACAGCTGAAAGTAGCTGAAGAAAAGTTTACATTTGCACAAGGAAGCTGAAAGAAGCTGAAGCAGAACAAAACGTGAAAGGAGCAGTAAAAGGTTGTAAACAGATCTAAAGATCTGAAGGATGGAAAATGAGCTCAATTCATTTTTTTGTGAGGACAAATGGAAGAAAAGGCTAAATATTTCAAAAAGCTAAAGTTGTGCCAATACCAAAAGTCATAGCAGCATTATCCAGAAAGACCTGAACATTTTGATTAAAGATTTGTTGAAATAGCACAAAAACTGAGGGACACGAATCACGCTGAAAAACATATGAAAGAAAACTGGATCACAATAGAGTGAACGCTTCATAAACATTTACACAGTTAGCGTTAGCATCCAGGTGAAAACGTTAACTCAGGTTTGAGACACTGACTGGATGTTTTTGCACCGTTTTTTGTTGACTAAATATTTAAAGTATACAACTTGTCAGAAGCTGACCTTGAGAAGCAGACAGTGTCAACTACAGATGGGAGAAGGTGCTTCTTTAAAGCCCGTGGGTTGACACAGTGCTTCAGCTGCATGAAGCTGCTGACCTTCACTGCTGGGCATCAGGAGGACTCTGCAGAGGCTGAGCACTTTTTGTTACATATATAGCTCTCTCACCTCCTCTTCCCCTCTCCTCCTTCTGTCTCATAACAATGAAACACCTACATGTGTGCCAGCACCACGAGCTCGCGCTATAAACGTGCTCCGGTCATCTTGATAGCCTTCACACGTCTCTACTTGCAGCAGAATCAAGCAGATGATGGATCAAACGGAGGATTAGACATTCTGTCCCCTCTTCTTTCTCATATTCCCTCTTAATCGCTACAAATTAAGGGATTAAAAGCTTAAATCTTGGCCTGTGTTTGAACAACACGTACAGTAGCTGCTGCTTCCACATGTGCACTTCAGAGCAGCTGAACAGATCTCCCTCCAGCTTCAGCTGCTGCTGATTGTTGGTGTGCAGGACACAGACTAATGATAGACCCTTCTGTTTGTTGCCGTGTTATTTATATTTGATTCTTTGCTTGCTGTGGTGTGCTGTGTTTTTGCATCAGTGTTGCAGCAGGAGGATTTTAATGAAGCGGGGCTCCGTTGGGCCCGTGGGTTGTAAGAGCGCAGTGATCTGATCTGAGGGAAGCAGCTTGGCTTGTGTTGCAGGGCACACTTGGAAGACAGGGAGAGAACAGTTTCCAGCTTTGTTCTGCTTTAGACGCAAGCCAAGAAGCTCATAAGAGTCTGTTTAATTCTTATTTGTCATAAAGTTTGCTTCTTGTCTTCTGTTTTGATCTTTTTCTTCAGAAGTTGAGAAGTCATGAATTGGTCCAGTGACGTAAACCAGGCGGATGAGTGACCAGCTCAGCGCTGCATCCCATCTCCTCCTTTACTCCTCGTTTACCAGCTCTTTGTGTTTTCTCCTGGTTAGGTGTGGTGTCTCTGTCCCAGGCTCTGTGCTCATGTGACGACTACTCCAATTCTCTCTTACATCTGGACTTGAGCAAAAACCCCGGGGTTCTGTCTGGAGAGGATGCCACAGTGAGTGACCTTCATGCGTGTGACTGTTTGAGCGTTTTTCATCTGAAATACAAAGAAAAAGATCCTGACTACTAGCATTAATAAAGCTGGAGTCACAACACCAGCTGGTTTCCTTTACCCTTCACAAAAACATCAATTGCTGTTCTACTCTGCATTTCACACATTTATATATTTCACGTTTGACTGTAATTTAATGGGATTATGTGAGCTACTGTGCATTGTTGTACACGGGATTAATGGAGACTGTCCAGAGAATCTATAGTGACATCCCAACAAAGTTAAGTCAGGCCTGCTGGGCGGTTTCCTTTTGTTGAAATGTTTCATCCTTCATCCAAGAGACTTCTTCAGTCTGAGGAGCTGCAACAAACTCTGCCTTATAAACAGCACCTTCACACAGAGGATCAACCAGTTTGATGGTGCTCATATAGTTTCTGGAGTCCGCCCTGTCCCCCACAACTCATGTGTGGCAATCATGGCCAAATGACTGATGAAGTCTTTTGGATGAAAGATGAAACGTTTCAACAAAAAGAATCCGTCCAGAGGACCTGACTGTACTTTGTTGGATTTTTCTACCTGGATTTCTGAGCATGAATCAGGATGAAGTGACAAACATTTGTCTTAATGTCCCCTGCTCTGATGAATAAAACATCTGTGAAAACACCTGATAAAACCCGCCTGCAGGAGTATTGATCATGTCAGCTCAGGTGTAGGTAACACAGCGTCTGATTTGGCCTAAAGTCCTCAATACTGATTGCATCAGAGCTCCAGAGCTTCTTGTCCTACATGCAGCTGGTGATCTGTAAACTGCAGGACAAACAGCAAAATAATCAACCGGGTCGCCTCCGCAGTATCTTTCAAATAAAACTCAGCAGGTTGAAGGCTTTATTGGTAGCTTTCTTTGGTAGTTCACCGTTTGCTCATTCCATTTAAATCAAATCTATTTTACAGGTTTATCATCACAACAATACAAAAAAAAATACAATCAGTTCCAGGGTTCTACACAAATGGACCTAATAAAAGTGACCAAATCTTCACTAGATCCTTAAATTCTTCTTATCAAACCTTGAGTGAACAATAACACCCAGCAGGCTCCATCCTGTCGTTTTTTTATTGAACTAATAAAAAGCCTAGATATAAAAGATGCATGTAGAAAAACTAAGTCCACCCCAGTGACCAGCAGCTTGTTGAACTGACTTTAGCAGCAATGACTCTCAGCAGGTTTCTGCTGTTTGATTTTATCAGTCTCTCACAGGTTGTGGAGGAATTTTGACCCGCTCTCCTTTACATCACAGCTTTTGTTCATTGAGATTTGAGGATATTTGTTTCTGCACGGCTCTTTTAAAGTCACACCACAACATTTCAATCAGAGTAAGGTCTTATCGTTGACCGGACCACTGCATCACCTTCAAGTTTTTTTTTCAAACGTACTTTTTATTGTGTTGAGCTTCTGTGTTTAGGATCATAGTTCTGTTAGACCCAGCACAGTCCAAACCTCAGCTGTCCAACATGGTCTCATATTTGACTCTAGAGTCCCTTGGTCTACAGAGAAATTCATGATCGACTCCATGACTGAAAGGAGCTCTTGTCCTGTGGCTGCTAAACAAGCCCAAATCATCCCCCTCCACCACCGTGCCTGACACTTGGTATGAAGTGTTTGTGTTGATGTGCTGTTTGGTTTTCACTAAACATGGCACTGTGTATTATTGTCTGTCCAAAAGACGTTGTTCCAGAAGTTTCCCTCAAATGCAACTTTGCAAACATGAGTGGTGTTGACGTTTCTTTTTAGAGAGAAGTTCTCCTCTTAGTAACTCTTCAAAACCAGCTTCAGTTGTTCTGTCTGTCATTAATCTTTGACCCTCTAACCGGGGCTTAATTTGAGCTGGATCCTGTCGGAACAGGATCCGGGAACTCTTATTTTGACAGGATGCGTTCCGGTAACTGTTTGCTTGGATCCAGTAACTCTCAGGCTCACTAATAATAAAGTTATGAACAAATTTTACTGCTTTGAATGAATAAAACTTATATTGTATATGTAAACTGAAAATAATTACATAAACACTAATTTAAAAACATAACAGCCATTTATGAGTGTCTTAATATCAAATCAGAGCTGCCCCTTCAAGTAAGCATTTCCACTTCTACCTTTAAAAAAGCTCCACCCCTAAAAGGTCAGTCATGGGTAATTTAATTAAAAACACAAAAATATAATTAAACAGCACAACTAAATTGCAAATCAGTTTTACAGTTTAAGTGTGTCATTAATGAAATTTTGGGTAATCACGTTACGTATGTCACTTATCAAAACTACGGCGCCAACTTGTCAAAATAACAATGATCAAAATGTTGAAAAGACAATCCAATTAACTTTCATTAAAAAAAAAGTTTTCGCATTGTACAACTAAACAATGGAGAACTGAAGTACATGAAGGCAGTGGCAATGGAGATACTGGAGCAGGTGTGAGGATGTGTGAGAGAAGCGGAGTATGCTCTATTCACACAGGGAGAGCTGTTGGTCAGGTTACTCCTTGTTGCTCTCTAAATAGTTAGTGAATCGTTTACTTACGTTGCTAAATGTAGATGTTTAACAACCTGTTAAAATACACCAGAATGCAGGAAATGACATCTACTTTATTCAAAATTTTCTGGGGGAGGAACCTCAGACACAACCACCAACCTCCACCCCATTTGCGTTTCGGCATTGTTTGGTTTACAAATTAAGAACTGCCTCTAACTGAAGCTTGTAGAGTACAAGACACAGCCTGTGGAGATTTTGCTCTTTCTCCAAGCATTGCACAGTCTGATCTTGGGGTAAATTCGCTGGGAATTGCCTTTAACCATGCCCAGATTGATGCGCAGCAACAGTTGATTCTTTAAGGCCATTCCTCCTGAGTATTGTGTTAACATACATGTATGTTTCAGAGCATCAAGCAGCTAAAAGTCCTGCCTTTAAATGATGATCAGCTAATCAATGCATCTGATCAACAGCACCTGGACGAGCTTTCCCTTTAGGATCCTGTGGAAGCAACATGGATGGATGCAGTTTGAGCCCATGCTTTGTTTTCCATTTTGAGTTTGTTTTTGTTTAAAACTGATTTGGTGGAACGGTTGTGTTTTTGCACACTTGTGGTTAGATTTAAATACTTTGTGACCTCAGTAGAGTTCAGATCATTTTTATTATATCCTGATGTGGAAATCCCCAGAACTGACATGCAGTGACAACCCATGACTCAAAGATCTGGTCCCTCAGTTAGGATCAAATATTGTAGCAACCTGATAAATGCTAACGTTGAAGACACTACGGAATCACAAACTGATTTCATCACTTTGCTTTCTGTTTCAAAATTCAGAAACCCAAAGAACAGGAAGTGTTTTCCCTCTTTTTATCCATCAGGTCCAACATCTGACTTCTGGTGTCATTTTATTTACAGTCACCAACAAGAACCTGAACAGAACCAACAGAGACAACACATCTGAACACAGAACCTGAAAAAAAATCCACCCATTTCTGTCCTAAGATTACCCAGCATGCAACTCACCCAGTCTCTTGTGTTCAAGTACAACATGTAATGTCAATAATTCACACTGAAATTTAGCAGTAGCCCACAAATTAATGGTTTCTGTAAAATGTCATCATGCAATGAAACCAAAACAACTTTAGAATGATCAGAGTCAGAGTCAGAGTCAGAGTTTCTTTATTGTCATTCGCACCTCATGTGGTACATGTGGTGGAGCGAAATTATGTACACAGGGTCCCAGTTACATCCCACAATAAAATGTATAAGAAAAACAGTAATAACATCTAAGATATGAACTAAGAAAAACATCAACTAAATATACACTAAGCACTCATAACATAAAACATTGAACATCATGATCAAAGTGAACCTGCATTTGATGGTCCTAGCTCACACTGTTCTTCCACTTGGGCCACTTCACTTTAAAATCAGAGGCCGAGGAGCTTGAAAGTTCTGTTCAGGAGCTGTTCCTGCAGTTAGACATTCTTAGACCTTCTCTGAAGGTGCTGAAGGCCCTGAGTGTTCTCCACTGGTGTCGTGTGTTTTTACCATGACTGTGTCCATGTTGACATGAGTCAGTCTGTTTCTAATCATTACTGAAAACAACTTCTTGTTTTAAAGGATTTTTATAGCAAGTGCTAACATTTTTCTGCCTAGTTTTGGAGCTCTTTCTTTGTCTATTCATTTTGCCGAGTAACAGATTTCCTCTCTTTGTCTTTTCATGTAGAACCTGTACTTGTTTCTGGCCCAGCCCAACTGCCTGGTCCACTTAGACCTGTCTGGGACGGACTGCACCGTCGACTCGGTTTGTACTCCTTGTCTTTTTTTTCCCCCTGTCCCAGTCTGTCCATTTCTGTCTTCTCTCATCTCCTGGGTGGGAGTCAGGCCGAGACACAGAGACTATCCTGAACGTGAAGAGTCAGAGTTTCTTAACGGTCACTCGCACCACATGCGGTGCATGTGGTAGAATGAGATTGAGTACTCAGAGTCCCAGTTACATCCCACAATAAAATGTAAAAGTAAAAGAGTAATAAGATCTAAGATATGAACTAAGAAAAACATAAACTAAAAATACACTAAGCACTTATAGTATAAAAACAATACACCGAACAGCAGCATGACATGAGTCTGTGTGAGCAGATGAGTATGAATGAACACATCAACATGAAACAGATCAGCAGCAACATGAAACAGATCAGCAGCAACATGAAACAGATCAGCAGCAACATGATGTGTTTTTTTTCACAGTGATTATTCTGGTTAGAGATTCATAAGTCTAACAGCCTCAGGGTAGAAGCTGTTCCTCAGTCTAGTGGTTCTACACTTAATGCTCCTCAACCTCCTTCCTGAAAGGAGCGGGGCAAAAAGTGTGTGTGCTGGGTGAGTGGGGTCCTTCATGATGCAGGTGGTCTTCTTCTTGCATCTGGAGGTGTAGATGTCTGTGATGGTGGAGAGACTGACTCCAACATCTTCTGTGCAGCCTTCACCACTCTCTGCAAAGCTTCTCTTTCTGCAGCTGTGCAGCCTCCATGCCACACATTGATGCTGGAGCACAGGATGCTCTCCACTGCACACCTGTAGAAGGAGGTGAGGACTGAGCTTCACAGTCCAGCTCGTCTCAGCCGCCTGAGGAAGTAGAGTCTCTGATGAGCTTTCTTGATCAGGCTGGTGGTGTTGTTGCTCCAGCTGAGGTTGTCATTCATGTTTACACCCAAGTACTTGTAGCTGGAGACCACTTCCACCGCAGATCTTCCTCAGCACACATTCCTGAGAACCAGTGCTGAGGGTTATGGTGGAGGAGGAGAAGTTGTGGGCCAAGAAGAGGCCGTCATCCAAAACCTCAGCTGACTGCAGAGTCCTTCAGTGAGTTGGAGTGAGAGGGACAGCTCTTAGGAGACACTAATTCAGACAAAGAATTAATTAATAACTAAAGAAATTGCATTTCCTGTGAAATGTGTGAATACTTATTGCTGAAGAACAGTTGAAATTAGCTAAAAACATGCTGAAATTTAGTTGAAACAACAAGCCTATGTTGGTAGAAGAAAGGACATATATTTGCTGAATTAGGTTCAAATAAGCAGACATAACCAAGAAAATTGGGAAATTAGCTAAAAAATAAAGCTGATATTACCAATAACTAAAAATAGCTGAAAAGTAGCTGAAAAGGAAGAATGAAGCTTATCTGCCAGAAGGAAGTAGAAGGAGCTGAAATGAGCTAAAAAAATGTGGCATTAGATGAAAAAAGCTAAATTTAGCAGAAAATAGCTAAATAGTAGCTGAAATAGCAGAAAAAAAGGAAACTAGCATAAAAATGCTGAAAGGAGCATAACAAGCTGAAGTTAGCAGAAAAAGTTAATTAGGTTGAAAGTAGCAAGGAATGAAAAACTTGAATTTATCTGAAAACAGCTAAAATTGGCTAAAATGCTTAAAAATAGTAACTGAAATGTTAGAACAATCTGAAATGAGCAGAAGAAAGAAGAAATAGCACATTTGCTGAAAGAAGCAGAAATGAGCACAAAAAAGTGGAAATTATCTGAAAAAGCTGAAATTAGCAAAAAACAGCTGAAAAGTGGCTAAAAAAAAAAGCTGAAAGAAGCTGAAATTACCAGAAGGAAGAGGAGAGAGCACATTTTTGCTAAATTGGGCTGAGAAAAATTTAAATGATTGCAAAAAATGTGGAATTAGCTGAAACAGTTTAAATTAGCAACAACAAAAAACAGCTATATAGTAACTGAAATTGTAGAAAAAGTTGAAACTTACATGAATAAGCTGAAAGGAGCAAAACAAACTGAAATTAGCAGAAAGAAGTTAGAAGAAGCACAAAAATATTGTAGTTAACAGAAAGAATCAGAAAGGAGCACAAAACAGCTGGAAAAAACAGCTGAAAGTAGCTGAAACGATGTTAAATTTACACAAGGAAGCTGAAAGAAGCTGAACCAGAACAAAGTATAAAAGGAGCAATGGAAGTTTGTAAACAGATCTAAAGATCTGAAAGATGTAAAATGAGCTCAATTCATTTTCTATGAGAAGAAAAAAATGGCAGAAATGGCTAAATATTTCAAAAAGCTAAAGTTGCACCAATACCAAAAGTCATAGCAGGATTGTCCTGAAAGAGCCGAACGTTTTCATTTATGATTTGTTGAAATAGATTCAAAACTGAGGGACAAGAATCACAACGAAAAACCTGTGGAAAAAAACTGATCACAATAGTGTGAATGCTTCACATTCAGACAATTCAGTGAGGAAGAATAAATGAATGTTAGTCGTCTCTGTCAGTTCAGGGAGCGACAGCTGTGGTGTTACTGTGGCTAAAATGATGTCATTTTGTTATCTGGGGCCCACAGCAGGTGTCCTGACAGCTGTGAGGATGGCTTCGACCCCGAGACGACGTTTCTTTTTGTTCACCTCGAGTGTCTTGAGCCATGATGTCTTTGGTGTCTGCTTTTGTTAGACGGTGCAGGATTGTTGAAAAATGATGTGTAGAATGTAGCTGCTTCTGAAATGTCATAGTTATATTGATGATGACATAAATCTCACCAGGAAGCTTTAAGATGAAGTGAATGGATTTATTTTTATTTTTTTTCTTCATTCACTGCAGTGAAACCCTGCCAGTCCAGTCTGGTTTTGTTCTTCCTCACTGTCTCCTCAGTGGGACTCTTGACTTGATGCTGCTCTTTATCCTGTTGCATCACGATGCAGCTTTCTCTTGTCTGGGCTATAACTTACGATTAGCTCAAGATAATTCATTGAAGTTTGATACATGTATGCATCATCAATAGACGGAGTCTCGGACTCTTTTCATCGACCCCGCTCCAATGCCAGGGTCAGATTGCTTTTGCTTTTCAGACCATAAGTTCTTGAGCTTGCTGAAGATGGGAGACTGCGACGAAGTGAAGATTCAATGAGTCTGCTGCTTCCTTAGATAGAGAACTTTACTAATTGGCTTTTTATATAGGTGAATGTTTCTGTTCAGTGCCCTGAGACAACTTCATTGTGAATTGGCACTATATAAACAAACTGAATTGAACTGAACCCTTCAGATTTAATTCTCTGAACTAGATACAATAGACTGTTATCATAAACAACATTTATTGACTTAAATTCTCCACTTTTATTCATTCAGTGGATTTTGTTTGTCAAACCAATAGTTCAAGAAAGTCAGTGTGTGAAAAGCTGATGACACAGAGCAAGTAATCTATTTTTTTACTTCACTCATGAACGTTGCTGCATTACATTATTATGCACGTCTTCAACAAAACACAGCTGTGGATGTTCTCACATTACTGTTCGGTGGAGTTTGCATGCTTTCTCCGTGCTCACCGCGAAGTTGTAACAAGAAAATCAGGCATGGGCTTGGAAGAAACGCTGGACATCTACTGACAAAAGTGTTTGATAATCTGGCAGGGATGTGGCATGGACGGAGCTCTAATATAGAGCGAGGTGATGAGCGTGAGTGTGTTTGCAGTGAAGTGGACGTGACAGGTGGCAGAGAGCAGAGATCATGACAAAATAAGTATTTCACAGGTAGTAATATTAGCTTGAATGCACATGATATATATGTATAATGTGCATAACATAAACTACAGAGGTTGTGTGACAGGTTATTGCACTGGTAGTGAGGAACATTGAGATGAATTATGATGGTAAAGTAGATACATACAGGTCCTTCTCAAAAAATTAGCATATTGTGATAAAGGTCATTATTTTTCATAATGTAATGATAAAAATGAAACTTTCATATATTTCAGATTCATTGCACACCAACTGAAATATTTCAGGTCTTTAATTGTTTTAATACTGATGATTATGGCATACAGCTCATGAAAACCCAAAATGCCTGTCCCAAAAAATTAGCATATCATGAAAAGGTTCTCTAAACAAGCTATTAACCTAACCATCTGAATCAACGACGTAACTCTAAACACCTGCAAAAGATTCCTGAGGCTTTTAAAAACTCTCAGCCTTGTTCATTACTCAAAACCACAATCATGGGTAAGACTGCCGACCTGACTACTGTCCAGAAGGCCATCATTGACTCCTTCAAGCAAGAGGGTAAGACACAGAAAGAAATTGCTGAATGAATAGGCTGTTCCCAGAGTGCTGTATCAAGGCACCTCAGTGGGAAGTCTGTGGGAAGGGAAAAGTGTGGCAGAAAACGCTGCACAACGAGAAGAGGTGACCGGACCCTGAGGAGGATTGTGGAGAAGGGACGATTCCAGACCTTGGGGGACCTGCGGAAGCAATGGACTGAGTCTGGAGTAGAAACATCCAGAGCCACCGTGCACAGGCGTGTGCAGGAAATGGGCTACAGGTGCCGCATTCCCCAGGTCAAGCCACTTTTGAACCAGAAACAGCGGCAGAAGCGCCTGACCTGGGCTACAGAGAAGCAGCACTGGACTGTTGCTCAGTGGTCCAAAGTACTTTTTTCGGATGAAAGCAATTTTTGCATGTCATTCAGAAATCAAGGTGCCAGAGTCTGGAGGAAGACTGGGGAGAAGGAAATGCCAAAATGCCAGAAGTCCAGTGTGAAGCACCCACAGTCAGTGATGGTCTGGGGTGCCATGTCAGCTGCTGGTGTTGGTCCACTGTGTTTTATCAAGGGCAGGGTCAATGCAGCTAGCTATCAGGAGATTTTGGAGCACTTCATGCTTCCATCTGCTGAAAAGCTTTATGGAGATGAAGGTTTCATTTTTCAGCACGACCTGGCACCTGCTCACAGTGCCAAAACCACTGGTAAATGGTTTACTGACCATGGTATTACTGTGCTCAATTGGCCTGCCAACTCTCCTGACCTGAACCCCATAG